GCAACTACCTAGGACGTGGTCCCTGCAAACAACCACACCGCAGTGTAGTGAGCTGCAATACATTACAGACAAGTGAGCACTAAATTCTATCTGAGAAAGTCAGGATGGATCACAGAGGAGGTAACAGTGGGTTTCAAAAGAAAAGTAGGCATGTGACAGTTTTGCATGTTTGGGTGCTAAAAAAGAACCTGGAAAGAACGATTCTTTCAAAGGGTACCATCCAGGAGGTAATATGCCAAATGACAATTCGTAATAATAGTCACCATCTCTTCTTAAACGTTTACTTGCTACGTGCAAGTATTAGCTCATTTAATTCTCACACTACCCTAAGAAGTAGGTACTATTATCATGACCCCATTTTACAGACATGCTGATGCACAGAGATTAATGTAACTTGTCCAGGTTCTCGTGGCAAGTGACAGATTTGAGTCAAACCCCATTACTCTAAATCCAGACCCATCTCTCAACCACGATGTCCTAAAAGCACTCTTGTTATTTCTCTGTCCAGCTAATGTTGAGATTGAGGGGAGAAACTTGTCGGTCATATGTTGATCAGTGGATAGATAATGAACTAATAATAAACAAGAATAAAACCGCAGGTAGTAAAAGCTAATAAAAAATAGATTTAAAAACTGTACTTCCAGCTAATCTGGTTGCTAGAGAATAACCTCCTAGTGGTGGTTTGTGAAGGTTCCATTTACAAAGAGCAGATTGTTTTGATGTGAATAATTTAACAGCTGCTGTTGTAAAGATATTCTGGCAAACTCAGGGTCTCCAGGCCGGGGAGGAAGAGCAAGGCTGTCCATCCTGCTGTTCAGCCAGCAGTTCACTTTTGCAGAAAGGAGCCAGCACCAAAGAAAAAGAACAACCATTGATAATTGCACATGGATATTTTCATTTCAGAACAGTATCCATCTTAATACAGATCTTTTCAAATGTGACTTTTTATGAGAAAACATGAATAAATTCATGTAGTTGAGGATTTGGGGACCAGAGTCCCAGGTCAGCAGTATCTAGGCTCCAACACAGAATGCTGAGTAGCCTGGGCAGCTGCTCCCTATCCTGATAGCGTATAATGCGGCCTGGCACATACTTGACCCTCACTAAAGGGTCATTATTATACTTTACATAAGTGACCTATTAAGCAAAAATGGACAGATTTCAATTATGTCTCATTTTTTAACATGTGTCTCAAGGGAACTTCTGTCAATATTATCCTGACCATTAGATATTGATGGAAACAAGAAGTAGGATTAGCACATTCTTGTCAAAAAAGAAAATATTTTTTGAAATGTGACTCGTGTTTAAGACTGTAAATTTGAATCCAATAAAAAGTATTTTTCTTTTGATTGAAAGAGACTTTATACTTTTGTCTGAACCAAGAATCCACACCTAAGACATAAAAGGCAACAGTAGAAGTTGAGAGAAATTAAGAAAAGGGTGATGTCTTAGTAGAAATACTTAGTAGGAATAATTTTATATAATAGAGGGGTTTTTTTCTTTTAGTTTGTTTCGCTTTGTCCTGTTTTTGCCAGGGCACTAAGCCATTTGCTAAATGCGCTCCTTTTATGGTGTCAGGAGATGGAGTTGATCTGAGAAACCCTGTTTTTTAAAATAAAAACATGTTTGTAAAGGTCTTAATCAAGAGCCTACAAGCTACCCTGACTGGTGTGGCTCAGTTTGTTGAGCATGGTTCCACAAAGCAAAGGTCACTGGTTCGATTCCTAGTCAGGGCCCATGTCGGCTGGGTCCCCGGCTGGGGCACATGTGAGAGGCAACTGATTAATGTTTCTCTCACACATCATTGTTGATGATGTTTCTGTCCCCCTATTTCTTCCTTCCTCCTCCTCTCTCTAAAAATAAATAAATAAAATCTTAAAAAAAAAAGAGGCTACAAGCTGATGTCAGGTTGAAGAACAGAAGATTCAATGAAATTCAACTCCCAGAGACCAAGGGTTACTCCTACTCTCTGTTTAACTTACTTTGTGGGATACCACTGTTCAACCATTCAATATACAATGAATAGATCAGTTTGAATTAGATCATTTGGAATCTTGATGGATACAAAAGAAAAAATAAAGAGAAGTTTAAAAAAGTTGGTAAGAGAATATTCATTCTATTTCTAGCACAACATTCTATAAAATAATAAATTGATTCCCAGTATCTTCTGGAAATAGTGGGGGAAGGTAAGTAGAAGCATACAAATGGGAGGGGAAATTATTTTCAATCATCTAAAATTTCAACATGAAATATATTTAGGCCAAAAAAACCTATGATGTCTTATTACAGAAATTGGAGGTAGCATTATTTTAGCTATGGTTTTTGATTACTACATTCAAGATAAGACCATGGTCTTGAGATAATCACACTATATATGTTCTACCATACTTCCAAAACTCATTTGAAATTTATTTATATTTTTGGTGCATGGTTTATTTATATTTTTGGTGCATGGTTTCCTTAAAAATTGCTGCTGTTAAATAATTCCCCCCCCAAAAGGATGTCCCTGCATTCCCAAATAAAAAACACTTGATTACTGAGCTTCTAGCTAATGTAAATCAAAGTACTGTGATACTCATAATTTTAACAGTAGAATCTGAGTGTGTTTGTAATCTTGTGATGATACCATCCTGTGCCCCTCCAATGACTTAGATCTACCATCAGTGGGAGGATCTAACATCAATGGGAAGAACCAAACAGGACTCATGCACATTCCTGTTTCTCATGAGCACTTTGAATGAGACAAGAACACGTTCTTTAGCAAAAGAGTAAATTTATTACAAAAGACCAGGTTATAATAATTTGTTAAATGATTGTTTTGACAAAAATAAAATCAGTATCCATTACTCCTAAATATATGGGGAGGAAGAAGACTGGTTACAGGACTACTTTCTTTAGTTTTCTAAATTTATATAAGTAACACTCTTTCAAATAAAAATAGGAGAAATGGAAAAACCAAAAAAAAAAAAAATCACCCAAACTTGATCATTATAACCACCTTTCACATTTGTAGGTATTTGTTTCCTTTTGTAAATATTTCAATTGTGAAGTTTAACATACAGACAGAATGACACATAGAACTTCTATTTACAGTTTAATAAGTAGTTAAGAAGTGATTGTCAGTGTAACCACATCCAGGACAAGAAATGAAACATTGCTGGAAGCTCCCCATCTCTACCTCCCCCTTCCCTTACTTTCTCTAAAGTCACCACCATCCCAAATTTATGGTAGCCAATGCCTTGCTTTTCTTGGTATGTTGCTACCAGTACATATACCACTAAACTGTGTACTTTTTTAGTTAAAGTTTAATAGTTCACATACAATAGTATGTTTCAGGTGTGATTCAGCCTTCATGTACCTTATGAAGTAATCACAATAAATCTAGTAACCGTCAGTTACTGTTCTCAGTTATTACAATAATGACTATATTCCTTATGCACTTTCCTTATAACATATTTTATAACTGGAAGTTTGTACTTTTTTCCCCCTTAATTTTCACTCGAGGATATTTTTACTGATTTGAGAGAGAGATAGAGAGATAGAGATAGAAATGAGAGAGAGAGAGAGAGAGAGAGATCAATGGCTTTCTGTACACGGCCCAACTGGGGATCAAACCCACAGCCTCCTTTTGGTGCATATTCCAACCAACTAAGCAACCTGGCCAGGGCGGAAGTTTGTACTTTTTAATTCCCTTCCTCTATTCTGCCCATCTCCCCACACTCCTCATCACTTTGTTCTATGTATTTATTAGTTTGTTTCTTAAACCATATAGTTTTAACTGTTTCTCTACTTTACATGAGTGTATATATACACTATGTGTTTTCTTTTATACCTTGTTTTTAAAAAATTTAATACTATGCTTATAAAAATCAGCTCTGTTTTTGTGTGAAGCTGTAGCTTAATTTTCATTACTGTAAAAAAAATCCATTATATGAATATATCTATTATCTAACTATTTATCAATTGTCTATCTACTAAAGAGTATTTGGGTTGAAAATATTACAGATAGTGCTTGGATATGTGTCCTGGGTGTGGATATTCATGCATTTCCTCAGGGTATATCCCTAAGATTGTAACAGGTGGTCATAGGTATTGGTTTTAATCATCTTTAAATGTTTTAACAATTTTCTAAGTAATGCTTCTATTATTTCACAGTTAAAATAATCATCATTTTATTGGATAAAAAGATCTTCCTTTTGTGACTGAATTTTAAGCCTGGTCTCTTATAATAAATTCACTCCTCCATTTTCTAATTTGTTCATAAAAGTGATAAAAATCTTAAAACTTACAGAATTTATAACAGACATACAATTTCATGAGTTACAGACTCTTATGTAGACAGAGAAGTTTTATTTGTTTGTTGTTATGGTAGACATTGAAGCAAATATATTTAAAATAATTTTTAGGGAATTTTTATTGAGTTATATTTAACATGCCACACTGTGTATGTTTAAGGCATATGACATTGACATGGTCCATTTATATTATAATATGACTGCCATGCAAATGTTGCCTAACACCTCTATCGGATCATGTAATTATCATTTCTTCTAGAGCTGGGAACAACTAAAATCTAGTTTCTTAACTAGTTTAATGTTTATAATAGTTGGGGTTTTTTTTTTTTTTTGGTCTATAGTCATTGTACTATATATTATACTTCCAGGACTTATTTATATACTGGTTACAAGTATGTTCACTGAATATTTCTCCTATCCTCCCACCCTGAAGAATTGCTGTTTTAAAAAGTGTCGTGAATGTTTGCCCTGCCAAGAAAATCCTAGAATTCAGTTTCGCTCTTCTGTTAAAGGTATAGTTTTCAGTTGTACAAATTTGTGATAAAATGAAATTAAAGTGTCGTATTTTCCAAAGTCAACTCTTCAACGTCTCCTGCCAGACTTCTCTGAGAGTAACTTTAGAGTTTCTCTATGCAGGCTTCCTGGCCCCCAACTTTATACACTACCTCACTATCCAATAAAACCTCTTAATGTGCTTTGACCCAGGAACAAAAGTTGCTAAGAGACAACCTGTGCTGAATGTACTTTGTTCTAGCAAGAGCAGACAGAGAAAACCAAAGAGCAGCGTCATCTGCCACAACCTGGGATTAAGTCAGGTAAGAAATGGGTTTCTGCTCTTCAATCCTTACCAATTGCCTAGTCTTTCCTTCATTTCCTATTTGAGCCTCTCTCTTACTGTCCTTGAAGAAAACTGAAGGTGCCCTCAGGATACAAAGGAAAGACCATTTGGAGGCAGAGTTTACACGAGAGAAAGTCATTTTGTAATCCCATGTATAATTCTTACCCCTCTTTTCTGTAACATAGGCAAAAAGAATTGTTGTATGTAATGGGTACTCTAGGTGTTTTCGTAGCTAGAGTTTGGTGTGTAATTTGGGGCATGAGTCCTTCCTTTAGGAATGAGTCTGGTTATTACAGAAATTAATCAAGATTACTGTACGTGGGAGAAAATTACACTTGCATAAATCATATATATCTCCCCATCTCTTTCTCCTCTCTTAAAACTCAACGTGCCTTTTTGGGTTTTGACTGAAAATAGCACTACCCCAATCTTGCCACTTTTTAAACATACTGATATTCTTTTTAAGTTGAGTGTATCTAAGGCACTTTGATGTAAGCATTGGAAAATTAATTATTTGACCTTGCATTACTGAAAAAGGAGTTAAAAATGGTTCTAAACTTTCTACCTGGTGGACATTTGATAAAATGTTCCAACTGTATGCCAAACCAACTTCAAATAAATACTTTTATAAATTCCATTATACTTTTTAAAATTCTAGCTATTTTAAAGCTATTTAATTAACACCGAAATGTGGAGGAAATTCACTGATACCTTATTAAATGACCAGAACATGAGAGAGGATCTTAAGGAAAAATCAAGAAAATTAAAAAAACCTTCTGTTGTTTAATTTTTTAAAACTTAAAAAAAAATTTACCTGCCTCTTTCCATGTTTTCAAATCCTCATTTCCTGGTAATACCTACTGTATGTGTTGAAGAATGGTAATTTCACTGATTCCATTGTAAAATAATATAATGACTTAGCAGATAAGATTTTAAATGATTTAGCAGATAAAATTGTAAATGACTTAGCACCTAAAACTTAATAAATACTGATAACACAAAAAGAGAATAGTTGTTCTAATAGTTCCTTGAGTGGTTTCTTTTCTTTTAAAAGTTATTTTTCAATTACATACAATATTATATTAGTTTTGGTATACAGCAGTGATTAGACATTTATAGACCTTACAAAGTGGTTGAGCTGTTTCTTTTAGAAAGAAAGGCAAATTTGGCATATAGGAAAATCTATGATTATGATATAAAGTGGCCACAATGAGTGTATGAAAAATATTTTAATTCATTAAGGAGTAAAACATCTTAGTTTATTGGTTGGTTACAAAAATGTCGAGTCTTGCCTAAAAGATGTTTCTTCATCACTATGTCTTTACAGTGCAAATATTAGACTGAGTCAAAAAAATCAGAATTATGTGTTCATTTGAGCATACTTCTCTTTTTTTCCCCCTAGGAAGCAGGAACATTCTGGATATGACGTGTAAAAACTGGATATTAATTTCTACTACTACACCCACAAGTCTGGAAGATGAAATTGTGGGAAGACTTTTAAAAATTTTGTTTGTTATCTTTGTTGACTTATTGTCTATTATATATGTTGTTGTAACTTCTTAGGAAGCTGACTTTCCTTACTTTACGAGTAAATTCCTCTGGATAAAAATTTAGAGTTTAGTGTGTTGAGTGATTTTAATTTGATGACATCTCCAGTTATTCTAGAAACCAACAGGATATAACAATAAAAAACAATATTGTATATTGTTTAATACTTTATGGCTTATAAAACATTCCCATAAATTGAAGTAGAATTTTCCCCCCCAAAATCTACACTACCGTGTCATAAAATTTTCTGATTTAAAAAAATTTATTTATTTATTTATTTTGGGGGGATGGGAAGGAAGGGAGAAAGGGAGGGAGAGAAATATTGATGTGTGAGAGATACACTGATTGGATGCCTCTCGCATGCTCCCAACTGGGGACCTAGCCTGCAACCCAGGCATGTGCCCTGACTGGGAACTGAACCTGTGACATTTTGGTTCGCAGGTTGGTGCTCAATACACTGAGCCACACCAGCCAGGGCAAATTTTCTGATTTTTAACATGATTGTTATTTAGTAAATTGACTAAAATTTGTAGGTATAATATGAATGAAGTTGATTTTTTAAGGATCCTTACCTAAGTGAAATTTTATATGGTTTTATTTTTAACACACAGCTTAAAAATATGATGATAATCTTTTCATGCAATATACTAATATTTTATACTTATTTTCTTATAAATACATTTTATCTGTATGTAGGTAGCAGTATGTCATTAATGTAAGGCTCACAGTGATCCTGGGGGGTAGATACTTGTTATCCCTGTTTTGTAGATAAAGAAACTGAACCTTGGAAGAATTAAACTAGCTTGAGACCATAATTAGGACCAAATCTTGGTCCTTCAGAATCCACAATATGATGTTGCCTCCAAAGGTAAATAATAAGACAAGTGTGTTTAAAAACCAATCTGCAGGGTTCAACTTTTTTCACCATAATGTTTTATTCAAGACCTTATGGCCGTATTTTAGTACCTTAGTCCCTCTTTTCCTGTGGGAGATACGTTCCAAGACCCTCAGTGCGTGCCTGAAACCACAGATAGTACTGAACTCTACATATACTTTATTTTTTAATACATACATACATTCATACCTGTGATAAAGTATAACTTATAAATTAGGTACAGTAAGAGAGGAACACAACTAATAACAAAATAGAATGACTATAACAATATACTGTAATAAGAGTTATGCAAATATAGCCCCCCTCTCTCAAAATAGCTCATTGTACTGTACTCACTTTTTCACTTATAGGAAGCATTTTAAGTGAACTCTTCTCTTTGGCATATTCGTATTACCAGCATCGCTACCCTTGCATTTTGGAGTCGTTGTTAGGTAACATAAGGGTTACCTGAAAACAAGCGCGGCAGTACCCTGACAGGCAGTCTGATAACCTAGACGGCTACTCGCGACTGATGGGCGGGGAGTGTACACAGAGTATACACGCGGGGCTAAGGGATGATTCGCGTTCCAGGCAGGACCGCTCCAGAGTTCACCATGCTCTCTGGAACAGAGCGCAATCTAAGACTTAATAAATTCTTCATTTCTGGGATTTTCAACTTGATATTTTTGGACCATGGTAAGTAGGCCACTTGTAATTAAATTAGTAGAAAGGGAAACTATCGATGAAGGGGAACTACTGTATTGTTCCCATTTATTTTCTTATTCCACATTTTAAAATATGTTATAATAAGCAAGATTGTTTACTCTTTTCTCATATCCAATTTTTAAAAATATTTATTTATTTTTAGGTAGAGGGAGAGAAACATTGATTTTTGAGAGAAACTTCAATTGGTTGCCTCTGCCACGCACCTAACGGGACAGAACACAATCCACGAGTGTGCTCCGATAGGGAATTGAACCTACGACCTTTTGCTTCATGGAATGACTCTCAACCAACTGAGTCATGCTGGTCAGGGTCTCATGTCCAATTTGGCAATGCATTCTCTTCCCCTGTTTTCTTGATTCCTCATTTTCTGACAGTGTTAAAATATAACTATTCAACTTCTGCTTTTTAAGCTTTTGAAAAACATTCTCTCTGTCCTTTAGACTTTTTGACTTTCTACATTGGATACACATGCTTCACAAAACTCTGATTCCTTCCATGTGATAACCATCTCAGATTTTGCCCAAACATTAATGCAAGTTTCATAAGAGACCTAATGGAGTGTGAAAAGAACCAGGGACCTTTGAGACATTACTTAACTGACTCGTACTTAACCTTTCAATGGTGTTGGATATTTAACTCTAAGCCAAGTAGAGTTGAACTATTTGAGCATTTGGTGTGAGAAAAAATCCTTTTTTTTCCCTACACTATATTGTCACGCTCTTCCTTTTCAATATACAGGCCATCTCCTGCCGATGTGATGTATTTCTCCCCAATTCCCTCTATTTGAGATTTGTCGGAGCCCATTATTAGGTTACTGAGAAGGGAGCAGAGTCACTCTCATCTTCAGGCAATGGCTTCTTTTCCCTGTGTGCTTCCAGGCAGTAGGCAACAAGATCAGAGGCAGCAACTCTGAAGCCACACTGCCTGGGTCCAAATCTTGGCTTCGCCTCTTACAGTTTAATAACTCTATGTCTCTCCTTCCTTACCTACAAATAAATGACTGTGCCATAGGTGTGGAAAGAGGATAAAATGAGAGGACTTGTATAAAGTGCTTAGCACAGTTGTTGGCATTCGGCAAACCTGCAACCCACGATGGGTTGGTGAGATCAGCATCGTCAGGTGGAAGCAGAGGCTGTCTTCCAGCGGAGTGTTAGTGGGTCTCAATCACCCTGCTTGTTCTGCACTTCCCCCTTAGAATGCCCTCACATGGACCCACCCAATTGGCCCCCAAACATGGCTCTATTGCCCTGGACCCTGGCATCATTCTGTGAGAGGTGTCTAAACTAAATGACCTGCAATACTTCTTTTGGTTATGTTATTTCAGAACTTGTCAACAACAACTAGATATCACCATATGACTTGAGACAACAAAGGTTACTTGATAGACATCCTTTTCCAATAAGTAACAAGTAAGTCTTGTTATTCAAGTATTGTGATTTTGTCATTGAAAATAGGTCACTTTTATGTAGTACATTTATACAATGGAATACTACTCAGCCGTAAAAAAGAAAGAAATCTTACTCTTTGTAACAGCATGGATGGGGGACCTGGAGAGCATTATGCTAAGTGAAATAAGCCAGTCAGAGAAAGACAAGTACCATATGATTTCTCTCATATGTAGAATATAATCAATAAAATGGAAACAGACTGACAGCTGTCAGAGGGGAGGGACGTTGTAGGGCTCGGTCAAAAAGGTCAAGGGATTAAGAAAAATAAAAGGCCTGGCTCAGTTGGATTGTAGTATTTTCCCATAAACCAGAGGGTCATGGGTTTGATTCCTGGTCAGAGCACATGCTGGGGTTGAGGGTTCGGTGTTTGGTTGAGGCACATGTGAGAGGCAGCTATTCCATGTTTCTCTCCCTCTCTCTCTCACCTTCCCCTCTATAAAATCAATAAACATGTCCTTGGGGGAGGATTTAAAAAAAAAGGCAAGAAAGAAAATAGGTTGCTTTTCCTTCATTCTTCTAAAATATATGTTCCTTTTCTTTTTGCCAGGTGTGGTGCTAGGCAGCCAGGTCAAAATAGTGAACAAAACATAGCTCCTGCTCTTATGGAGCTCATAGTCTAATTGGGGGAAATGAATGAGTACCCAAATGATGCAACTACATTTGAGGAAGTATTGGGAGAGACACGCCTGAGGTGTTATGAGGGTAGGGAGAAGAATATTCTACAAGTAGCAACAATTTCTGTGACTTGTTAGACATGCAGAATCCTAGTCCCCCCCCCCCCCCCCACATAAATTCAGAAACTGCATTGTAATCAGATCCCCAGTGATTCATATGCATGCTACAGTCTGAGCAGCACTGCTGTGGAGGGGAGCCCAGTGGACTAAGTGTTCCTACAGTCTGGCTACTGAATAGCTGTGTGACCTCAGGGCAAGTTGCTTAACGTCTCTGGGTCTCATACTCCTCCTGTGTTAAAACAAAATAGAACCAAGAAAAAAACTAAAACAGCATCAATACTACTTGCTTTGTGTATCACATTGAAATACTGTTAATATTAAATGAACCGGACTCAAACTTACATGAAAATGTATAACAGAAAGGAATTACATAAATCTAAGCCAATGTTACAAATATCAAGAAGACCGAAGCTGCTCTGTGAGGTGAGACCTGCTTACTTTCAGTAGACCTGTGACTACCTTCAGTAGAAGTAAATAAGGATTGTTTTTATAAATGGCAACAACATTCATGGCATGTCTGTATTGCATGCGGCTGGGGTTAGGTGACATGTTTTTCACTGGGTGGCTTTCTGTGGAGTTGTATAGAATGTAATGTCCACATGCACCGTTATCATCCATGCTGAAACTGAACTGATGGTGTTTCTGAACTTCCCACTAATAGATACGCATGATCTAGCCATGTCTGAGTTCAGGTATCTACATGCTGTTAATTTTATAGTTTCTTGATATCAACTCAAGTGGCCTCAAAGCCTTTCCAGTTCTCTGTAAAAGAGATTATTCTGAATTTGAGAAGAGAAGTCAGAAAATGCCTGCTGGAATCTTTGTTATTTATGGATGGCAATATCTCATGGGAGTGCACTATGCTAAGTGTTTTGCATATATTGTGTAATTTCATCTATACTAATAAATTTATGAGTTGTTTCCATTTTGCAGATGATGAGGTGCAGCCCCAGAGGAATTAAATAAAATGTTCAAGTTCGCACAGGACATCCCAACTGTGGTAACACTGTTAGGAAGCGAGAGAACCAAGACCCAAGACCCTCAACTGAAAACCGTCTACCACTAGAACCTTGTTCTTAATCATTCAGTTACTCTGCCTTGTATCAAGCCAGAGAAGTTCATTACCACTGGCTCCTCATTTGAAAGGCAACCAGTTCACACTACAATGAAGCATCTTAATCCTACACTCAGGGATTCAATGAATAAGATGAAACCTAACTCTGGGATAGGACTGAGAAAAACTGCTTCGGTAGAAACTAGGATCAAGGTTTGAGAGAGGATCT